ACCTCCTTGTAGTTGAAGGCCGCCGTGGCACCAACTTTGTTGACCACAAAGTCACACTTCTCGTTGGACCCGGCCGTCGCGTAGACGGCGGACGCACCCGCGTCCTTGGCCAGCTGGATGCCCGCGATGGAGACGCCAGAGGCGCCGGCGTGCCAGAGGACGGATTTGCCCTTTGAGAACTCGCCTACGAGGAACAGGGCTTGCGTGGCGGTGATCCAGGTCTAGTGTACACTCATGGTCAGCATTTCACAACTGCCGACATCGGTGGTGCAAACAGATGACGGGGAAACCATGCAGGCTTTTAGTTTTCTTCTTACCTCTGGAACACCAGCGGCCTGCTCCCAGGACAGGAAATCGGGCTTGTGCAGCAGCATCTTGCTATTGACGGCAATGTACTCGGCGTATGCGCCACCGTACGCGAGGCCAAAGACCTCATCTCCAGCCTTGAAATTGCCGTGGTCGCCCGAGCCAAAGGATTCAATAGTCCCGCTGAATTCGACTCCCAGGGTCTTGGGCGCCTGGGGCGGGAGCGGGTAATTGCCAAGACGTTGGATTTGGTCCATGCGGTTGATGCCAAAGGCCTTGATCTTGACCAGGGCCTCACCTTCGCCCGCCGTGGGCTTTGGCGTGTCGGCATTGATGAAGAGGTTCTCCTTGGGACCTTTGCCGTCCTTGATGTCTGTAGTTTTTTGTATTTGTAAGCCATTTGTCTGTTATGTACGATGAAAGGCATGTTCGACTCACCAACTGCTCTCATTGTTGAGGCCATTTTGATAAAGTTTTCTGACCTTGATTTCAACCTTGCCAATCTGCACTTGAGAAGTTAACTTGAAAAGAATGAAAGAGATTTGTCAGTAGCTCGAAAAGATGAAGTCTCACCGAGGTCCCCGTTCGGTTCCCCTCAATGACGTGCATCCGGGCCCACTGACTAATCCACTCGGGCGCCCCCGTGCCGCTCCGTAGCCGGCTCCAATATTCCGGTGCCGTGTCCGCATGGTTTCCAACCACAGCTCCGGGAAACGCTACTTGTAGTCTCCGTTCAATTTTCTTGGCCGTAAATTTCATATAACTCATCTTACGCAGTCTGGAATATGCCCGAGTTGCAATGACTGAGACTACCATGTATGAGCGACAAGCTTACAGGCTTAGTTCAGTATCATCTTTGGTCAATTTCCCTACTGGAATGGGGGTTTCGATGAAGTGAACGTGTTAGTTACTGTATCCCGAAAGTCTCTCAAGAAAAACAAGCTAGAATGAACCTGCATTATTCTGATTTACGCAATTCTGAAGTATTCTATCAGTGTTCCGCAGGATCTCAAGGGTAAGTCAGTCTGTTGCTGTTTCTCCTACCCTGTTGACTTCCTCGACTTTCCACATTGATATCCCAAGACGTCCCAGCTCCAGAGATCTGAAATACTCAAGGCGCTTATAGCGGCAGCGGCAGCTCGTCGAGATATATATCCCACGTATCTAGGATAGCCCCCAACTCCTCGGTCACGAAAGACTGCGGGAAGAGGAGAGGGATTGATATAAATCCCGTTCGTGGTTCTGACCATCAGTTATTCATATTTCTCACTCGATAGTGTATCCCCTGGAGCCAAAATGACTATCGATCACGAGATTGAGGCGCCTTTATGATGGTGACATCAAATGTCGGTAAGCCAGTAAAATGGTGGCGCATGGCCTCGTAAGATGCCCAGCAAAATGGCGCCGGCAACTGACGAGTTTGCGTAGTTCGAAGCAAACTCGTCGAGGGCCGGGGAGCTCACAGGGCGGCTCTAAACTAGACCAACCAGCTCAAAGGCCAAGCGCGAACGCCCTCCCCCGCCGCCTGCTCAATCCTTTCAATGTGTTTTGATTTCAAATTCGTGCAAGACTCGTAAAGCTTCATGAAAGAAGAATACTCGGCAGCGGGACACCAACGTTCTCACCTCGCGTCAGACGTCGCCGAGCATGCGAGCCAAACGAGAATATTTTTGTCTTCTAGCCTGGTCACCTGGAAGTAAGCTTCTAGCTAGCATAAGTTGGAGTACCCCAGATCAGGCTGTCAAGATTGAAGTGAGGTCAGTCAAGGATTCCCTAGGCACAGAGTGGTTCTCCAGATCTTGACATATAGTCTATCTACGGGCAGCCGATGAAGCTAGTAGTGAAATGCTGGCATGAACTAGGAACTGGCGTACCGCTTAATGGATGAGACTATAGAACTGGATACGCAAACTTTAGGTTTGAAAGACTCGAAAATGGATGGAATGGGGTGGGTTGATACGTGTTGCAATTGCCCGGCTGATGAAGTTTTACGAGCCACTTGTCTCTCGAGTACCTCCACATAACGATAAGCATAAAGAGAGGATGGAAGCTGCAGGCACGGAAACACGATGAAAGTGAGCCGAAGAGAGCGGTAAAGGATGAAGATCGGGCAATAGTCCCAATTGAGTTGAGCAAAGTCTGTGTTGTGTGGAAATTAATTGATGGTCAGGGTGCGCTGTAACACCCTGAATTGGCCTGGCCAGGTTGCTGCACAGGCCACCAGGCACACCACCGGCCGGGAACATGTAGCCCCGCTAAGCCTTCTAGGCCGTTGGAGGCGAGTGTGCCCGTCTGGACCAGAATGATTCAGCCCGCTAAACTGCATTGATACGAATACAAACGCCAAGTGCCTCGAGTTCGAACGAGAGGTCAGTCGTGAAGCCGCTGAGTCGGGCGAGTTAGGTGGTGACATCTCGGAATGAGCCAGATGAGCTCCCTGTAAGTGATCAAAGTGTTGGGTGAGTTCAAATCCACAGCTGCGGCGGAGACATCTGTCAATGATAGGACGGATGCCATTGTATGGGATCTTGGAGTTGTTTCCTGCTTGTTTTTCTCCCTAACCGGAAGGTAGAATATACGAAAAGGAGAGTGAGGCTTTGGAAAGACATTCGCTGTGTCACTCGTTCGTGGCGGTATCGCGTCTGATACATATTGGCGCTATTCGCGTCAAATGTGTCGATTCTGCCTGAACAGTGATATATCCGCATCGGTCCTTCGTACAGATAAATATAACCTGTTGACGTCGTTCGGGTTCTGTGGAGAAGTTGGCCGCAGATTCCACCTCACAACATGGCCGGATCTCGATGCGGTGACAGGCAATGGTCAACGTCGATTTTATCTGAGCGATTGAAATAGCCTGTCTCCGCTGTACGCAACGACTTGGACTCAAACGGCGGGCAACGGTTCTCTAGAACTTAGAAGAAAACCTGCCACAACGGAGGCCGGAGAGTGCTAGGGCCCCGGAGACCCTTGGGGTGTGAGTGTGACCTCTTGAATGTGTCCCCTGCACCCCGCGAGAATCTGACATGTGCAGGAAACCTGTAGGAACCCTGTCTTGCCCTGGCACATCTTTCAAAACCCAGTCGTGCCAGTATAGCTGAGCAGCATCGTAGGTAATTGTTATGGCACTGACCTCGATTGACCTAGACGGGAGACCTGAAGTTTATTTGTGCTTCAGGGCAGATCTGAGGGGTCACCTTCTAATGTTTCGAGATGTTGGTCGTCATCCAGTGTTTATGTCCGAGAGCGTGACCCTCAGATGAACTGTGGCTAAAAATGGAGCCTTCATCCGATGGGCGATCCGTCCGGTGTTCTCAACGGCGGCGGGTAGGTGGCTCTTGGATGTTTCTGTAAAAACATTCCTTCGACTTGTTTCCTCGGTCAGATGGGAAGGATGTTAGTACGGTGCATCACTGACAAGTAGCAACTGACTAGAACGGGCAGGAAGCTGCATGCCATACTTGCCTCGAGGTAGGTAGGTACTGTGTAAGGTAAGAGACGCACGATGACAGCAAAGGAAATTGGCGTACAGGAAAAAAAAGTAATGCGCTTCTAGATCCCGACGGCTCGTCATTGCCAGACTTGGCATTCAATTCGACCCCCTGGCCGTGAGTCGGCTGCGGCATATTTTCCCGGTTCGTAACCTACTGCCCAGATTGCCCAGATGAAGTCGAAGTTGGAACCCGTAGGGCCCGAACGCCTTGCACGATTCTCCAAGAAAAGGAACGTACGGAGTGTCCGTACTTCAGAATTAAAGTTGAGGTCTGCAATAGCGGCCGTCTGCTCTTGCCCAAACGATCAGGCTACTTTTGGGTCTCCCACTAGCTGGGCCAATCACATCTCTTAACTACCTAAGTCCTCTGAGATTTCCTTGTTGCTGCTTTAAGTCCGATTTCCGTTCTCCATTGTCCCGGACTCCAAGCCCCCAACATCTCCAGTTTGATCTCCCCTCTCCTCTCTTCTACCACCTATCATAGCCCTTGCAAACCCATGACAACGGCAGCTGTTTATGGAACGGAGTACGGGAACGATAGCGAATTCACGGATACGTCTCCTTCTCCCTCGTACACTGCGGGGCATGCGGCACAGCTGGCAACCACGACGTCGAAGCCAGCCATAACTTCCCGTCTACGAGAACACCTCCGTCCAATGCAAACAATTGTCTCATCGAAGGTTTCACGCCGTGCGAACGGACAAAGCTCTTGGCTTGCTGCCCGCCAGAGAACAGCCAACTGGCTTGCGAATTCAACGTTGGACAGGCTCTCGTTAGCTTGAGCATGTTCTTCTATCGGAAAAGACGCAAGCCACAGCTTTCGATACAGCCCCGTCAGCAGCCCCGAAAGACGTTCTACGAAAGAAGATTCGCTGCTGAACTCTCATAGTAGTCTCGACTACTTATTTTTGTCACTGTGGGATCAGGCCGTCAGCTGGGAGTCTGGAACAGTAAACCTGTCGCCGCCGTCTCCACATCCGAGGGCGGGCATTGTCAACTTGGGCGTTGCATGGTACCTGCATTAGCGCGAGGTTTTGTTCCTGAATCCTGACTTGATTCGCACACTGCTTGACACTGGTCCGTCAGCCGTCAGCACCGGCTGCCGCGGCCACAGGTGAGTTGGCAAACACGTCTGAATGCGTGTCGCATTCACTCAGCTAAGGCGGAGATATCGGCAGGGGCCTGACAAAACGTCTTACAGTCAAATGAAAGATACGACTGTCACTGGCAATGCTGGCCGACGGATGGCGGCCTGGAATTTCGGATCACGGCTGCGCATCAAGCAAAGGCTTCCCCGCCTTTGAGCAAGCATCTCTGCCGAGAAACGGCTGGCCAGTGCTATTGGATCTGCCAGCATGACAGGAAAGAGCGATGCGTGCGTGTACGGATCTTTCGTGTGTCTACGGAGGATGGCCAGCTCGCTGCCCAGATGCTGGTCAACGGTTGGCCGACCCGCTGAAAATGCTCAAGCTTACCTTGAGTCCTTGACTCTGTTTCCTGAGGTGGGCTCGAGTCATCTCATCTCGCTCGTCCGAACTCCTTGCAGATTCGGAGCGATCAGGAGGGCCGCGACCAGAGTCGAGGACTGATTCCCACGCAAGGAGTTTTCAAAGGGTGCTTCCGAGCGACAGTGTGAAGCAAAACACAGACGATCAACGAACGATCTGATGAAGCAAAGCAAGCGCTTGCTGGTCAGTCACCTCGTGGCTCTATTCGTACTCTATCTTACTACACCCAATAATACCCGGATCTAAGTGGTCATCTGGGTCCGAGTGGGTCAAAAGGTAAATGAATCCCACACCTCAATTCCCGCGCTCCAAGGTCGGTCCCCTTTGTGTGCATATTCTTCCCATCCTCTTTCACACCCCCATTTGATTTCATCCCATTTTGGAGGGTACGTACTCCGAGAATCAACTTCTAGCCCAGTCTTTTCGACTTCTCTTTTGCTTTTCCCGTCTTCTCTGCGCAACCACACCACCAAACTTGTCAATCCTATTTTCCCGCCCCCCTCTCGGCCAAAGGGGAGTAGCCGCTTCGTCTGCCTGGCCAATTCTGGACTGCCAAAGCCACCAGCAACAAACGTAGGAAGCGCAAAAAAAAAAAAAAAAAAAAAACACGCACAAGCACATACACCATACCTGGTCTACCCCCTTTCCCGTCCGTCCACACAAGTCATCCACAATGGTCTTTTTTTCGTGTTTACTCCCCTCGTTACCAAGAACCCGTTCGTCTAGTCCACTTCTGATTCGTCCCAAGTGAAATAAGCTGGTCAGTGAATAGCGAAAGAGAACAGAAACCAGCCCCCCTTGTTCAGCCATGGATCGTGTCCCTCTTAGCAGGGGTCTGGAGGAAAGGCGGCGTGTGCTCTCTTTCGCCCTCCCAGTCCAGCTCCTCTTCTCATCTCCAGGCCTGGGAGATGCGTTGCTCCACCCTTCATGACCGGGCGAAGGTACCGTCGTCCCTGACCCATCCCATTACCTTACCGCAAGGCAGGGCCCCAAGGTAGTGTAGCACAGGCACTAAGGTAGAGAGCCCAGTCAGTGTCCACCGCCCCCAGTTCCCATGTCGTGTTCCGTTGCGCCCATCTCTGTATATAAGTTCATTTCCTCCAGGCCATCCCGTCTCCCGTTTCCCTTTCCCTCCTCACCCACACTCACTCATTCAGTACCGACCCAGACTTTTTAGTCGCTTTCACTCGTTAACCCAACCACCTAATCCTCAACTCGCATTTACAACTCTTTCGAGTCTTAATACCAAGTTCTCCTCCCCAAACAACCGTCAAAATGAAGTTCTCCGCTGCCGCCCTTGTCCTCGCCGCCACCGGCGCCATGGCCAACAAGAACGTCACCTACGTCACTGAGGTCGTCTCTGCCTACACCACCTACTGCCCTGGTCCCACTGTCATCTCCCACGCTGACAAGACCTACACCATCACCAAGGTACGTCGAATTCGGGAGGTGGACGGGATGATTTCAGAGTGTCTCGGCGCTCGCCGGCCAAGCGCCGGCGTTTACGCTCCCCGAGACTCGGAGATGGCCCGACCTTTCACCTCTAAAAACATGTCGATCTCGAACCCAAGCTAATAACATTCCAGGCCACCACCCTGACCATCACTGACTGCCCCTGCACCGTCACCAAGCCCGTCATCACCTCCTCCATCGTCAAGTGCGAGAACTGCGCCGCCCCCACCAAGAACGGCACCATCCCCGTCGCCACTCCCGCCCTCAGCAAGACCACCGTCGCCGGCACTGCCGCCATCACCCCCACCAAGCCCGTCTCCGTTCCTACCGCCGGTGCTGGCAAGGCCGCTGCCCTCTCTGGCGCCGGTCTGGCTGGTGTTCTCGGATTCGCTGCTTTTGTCCTCTAAATCAACATTCACGTCTCGCCATCCACGTCTCCCCCTACGATCTTTGACGTACGATAATATTTTAATTTTCGTGGGGAGCCTACGACACCTAATGACTGGAGCGCGGTTGTGAACCCATCCGACACGCAATCGACTGGATGGGTACTTTTTTTGGATGGGAGTTTTGGGAGTCTCCTTGGATAAGGAGAGCTTGGGAATGGATCCCAAAAACGACGGAGAAAGGAAACGACACGCCCACAGAATACCCGGTACATTTTCTTGCCTGCATGGCGCCATGGAGTTCTCAATCACGGGAACGCCCAAGCCATGCAGTAAACTCATACCTGTCAATACTGCAACTTCTTGTACTTGCTTTGCAAACAAACCTTCGCCCCAATAACGGTTTTTTTGGCTCGGTATTCCCGTCAAATCGCCAATTGAGGATCATATCCGCGTGTGTGTGTGCGGTACATACCATCCTCTTTTTCTTCATTTTCGAGAGGCTTAGAGAATGGGAATATAATGCGACCATGATAGGATATTCTTCGACTGTCTCGTCTTTACTCGCGGCAGAGTAACCTGTTTGACCCAATTCACATCATATTCTCCTCTCGCCTGACGATTAAGTACTCATCCTCATGTGTATCACGCCCTACTGCCAAAACGAACTGCCGCGTAATGTGTATGAATGTCCAAGTGTGCTGTTTGCTAGCCCATCACTTCGACGTGACGTCAAGTGGATGGATGATTTCATAATTGTAATGAGCTTATCTACCTCGGAGAATTTCTCAAGCTATGGCCCGCTTGCCTTGGGGATGATACGACATTGCTATAGGCATTCGGACCACTGTCCGTTCAATAAGTTCCTAGCAGGATAGTATCCCGAGGAGGCAGAATTACACAAGCGGTCTCCGGGATCCGGAACTCCATGTACGTCTAGTCTACTTCTTCGGGGGCAAGAGCATTATCACATTATCGGCAAGTCGGTGACTCTTTGCTTCGGGAAGTGACAAAACGGCTGTGACGACGAAAATACGTTCAAGACAACCAAGGACGCCGGAATGGAAATAGTCTAGCAATAGCGCGGAGCTTGATGAGAGGTCCCCCTCCCCCTCCCGACTCCCCGAGGTTTGACGGATATGGATTCCGGTGAGAGTGAAGGATGTATTTCGTAGATGAACTGACGGAGAGAGAAGAGGGGAACACGTCGGCCTCATTTCGCTAAAGGATGAACAAGGCTATTCACCTTCGAAAGATCATTTGCGGGGAGGAGGATTCTTGAGTGTGTATCTTGGAAAGAGGGCGCAGTTCCGCATGCCTAGCACACCTAGGTACTGGGCGCCTCTTAGGTCTTGGGATTTCTTCCACCCCCCTTTTCTACGCCGCAGCCGTGCCGCATTCCTTGTGCCTAGAGCGCATACGAGGTACAAACCTTTCTCTCTTAGGTGAGTGTCTTGGGAGAGACGCGGCATTCCAGCCAAGAGGAGGGGGGCGACGTAATTGCTTCTTGGTAGAGATAGGTATGAGGAGGAGCTAAGAGCTGCAGCCCGCCTGACAGACCGCTATTCGGGGGCTGAGATTTACTATCGTTGCATCCAGATCGATTAAGGTTGTTTTGTTTGGTGGTTTATTCTTTGTTTACCTTGTTATGGAGAAGAACCTTATGGAAAAAAGGGGTGGTTCGGGGGTACGGAGTACAGACGTACCTAGCGCTGCGCCGTACCTGCATCTTGCAGCGCTTGGGCGCTACTGCAGCGGTGAAAGGTACAACCGGATTGGACGGGACGAGCACGCTGTGATGGATCATGGAGGTGTGGGTCTTTGTTGCTGAGCTGGAAATGGAAACATACCGTTAGTACGGATACTCGTGAGTCGTACCTAGTGCAGCTGGTAATTCCAGGCGCATGGTTTTGGCTATGCCATTCTAGATTACAATGAGAAAAACGGTGAGCTGAAAAGAAAGGGTTGGGAGTGTGGGTGAAGCCCATTTTCCAAACATAAAGCATTGTAGGAGGAATGTGAAATTTCAACCTAAGGTATGTAAAGAGTACGGACTACCCTCTAACAGACTATCGTTCTAGAGCGATATCCCTTTCACGAGTCGTCGACAATCTCTATATGTGCACATAAGCGGTGTTGCAAACGCGGACGTAAGCGAGATTAACAACCCAACTGAGCCACTATGCGCTGATCGCCATCAATCGAATTTCCACGAATGCATTAGAGCGCATGGATTGTCACCCAGGATTCTTCGGAACAAATGAGGCATAAATGCTAGAGGCATCACGGATGCGGATGACATTTCATAGGGCGACAGGGTTACATACAGTTATCACTTGCTTGACGCCTGTCAGTCGACGCTTGGCGCTGGGGAAGATAATCTTCATGGGTAACCCTCCCCGAGGGCCGGGGGCCTTTCGGGTTCGTTTCTCCTGCTGCTCACCTTCAAGCTTCCTTACGGATACGCGGCGTGAGAGAGTCTTATCCTCCCTCGACCTGCGGGTGATCGTACCGGATCCTGGAGGGCGTGGAGACCGTTGAACCCGGTGGAAGCCGGCTGGGCCGAAGCCGTTGGTCATGTCGTGCCGCTTGAAGCGGTGGCTCGAATGTCTTGCGCGTGTTGACTCTCGCCCTCTGCCCTGCAGACTTATAAGGCATCGTGAACATCCTAGGGTTTACGGGTGATTGCCTGTCCGGATGAGGTGTTCAGGGCGAGCGAGTTGGAATTTCGACCGTATTGGGATAGTAAGACGAGGGCTTCGGGGAGCGTCGGTGTGTCTACAATTGTTCCGGCACAATCAGAGCTACTGCGAAGGCTTCTCAATTTTACTACTTCCCGTTGCCTGGATAGGGAGGTAGTTATGGGACGCGTTGTTGGATTGACCGTGTTTCTGTAGTTGGATCTGCAGCCCGGAAAGTTCTCGGGATGTTCTCCCTCACACTTACACTTAACTTCGAGTCACTTTCGGGACTTTACACTTGGGTAAACTTGATTGCGCAGACAGGCAAGT